GGCATCGTCAGCGATCCTCGGCCTGTGCCTCCCGCTGGTCATGGCCAATTTGCGCGAGGCCTCCGTCGAACCAGTGAACCTCGCCGGCAGGGGGCTGGCTCGTGACTCGGCCCGACTTCGCCACGTTGCCGTAGTTGCGGTGGGTCTCCAGGAGCAGCTCGACAGCCTTCTCGATCTTGCCTCCTCCGTGAGCCCCGCCTCCGCTCGGGCTCGGCTCCGGGACGCGGGCGCGGCGATGGCAGTCCCCACCTCGACTAACCGCTGCGCCGCGCTCGTCGCCCCCTCTGGCGCGGCGAGCTCTACCGCCGCGTCCCGCAGCAAGTAGGTCACCTACCTCCGCTGCAGGACCTTCAAGGTTCGGCTCCGAGACGTAGGAATTGCAATGGCAGTCCCCATGGCGACTAACCACTGCGCCACGCTTAGCACCTCCCCTGGCAAGGCCGGCACCGCCGCCGCGTCCCTCAGCGAGTAGGTCGCGTACCTTCACTGCAGGTCCTTCAGCGCGCAGACTGACGCCATGCCCGAGCGCCTGCGCGGCAGGCGGCCTTTGGCCACATATACGCCTCCTGCGCCCGCCTCTGCTGACCGGCGCCCCGAGCAGCTGGCCAGGGGGCGTCCTGGATGCAGCGGCAGCCTTGCCGATGAGCTCCTGGTCGCCGCTCCACCGCGCGGGGCGGTCGCGTGGCTGTGCCTGTCTCGGGGGGGGGGGGGTAGGGTGCTCGACGAGCTGCCCCCCGCCCCCCCCCTGGCCATCGCGGCGCCGCCCCCCGTGACCGTCTGGACCCGCCCGCGCCGCCCCCCCCAGCGGCGGCGCGCTCCCCGCGCCTCGCGCCAACAGCGGCCGAAGGCCGGGGCCCGTAGCACTCGGCGGGCCCGCGGGCATCGCGACGGCCACGTCGTCCACCACCTCGCGATGAACTCGACCTGCAGCTGGGCGCTGTGGCGCACGTGGCGACGTCGAGCCCGGCAGCCGCGATGGCGCGCCAAGACTTTGCGATTTGACGCCCGTGGCGACGCAGCCTAGCAGCCGCGATGGCACGCGAGGACTTTGCGATCTGACGCCAGGGCCCTCCGCTCCAGGGGCGCGAAATCCAGGAGGAACTTGAAGGGCATGTGGCGACCTCTGCGACGCCAGCGGAGCCGTGGGTGCACCGCTCGACGCAGAAGACCCAGCCGACGAACCCATGTCTTGCCGCTGCCCCTCGCCCAGGGGAGACACAGCCCTGGCCATCTGGGGAGGTGCTGGGCGACCGCCCCGACGAAGACGCCAACCCCGAAGCCGTCGAGCATGTGGGCATAGGGGTGTGACTTCCAGGGGCTGAATCCCTGCCCCCTATGCCTTTCGGGATCTCGCCCATCCCAGCAGCGCCCGGCAGCGTGATGAGAGGACTGCGACTAGCGTCCAGGTGCTTCGCCCACCGCGCCGCCACCATGTGCGCACTCACCTTCGGGTCGTGGAGCGTCCTCTTGAGGGGCGGCTGCCACTTGGTCTCGACGCGCTTGACAGCGGCCTCGCGCCCTCTGCCCACGTGCTGCCTCCTCTCCTCGCCCACCAGGTACCGGCGATCACGGAGCTCGCGTCCCAGGCCTGCTCCAGCCCGCTGGAATCGGACACGCTGAGGACCTGTTGGAGCACCTCCTCCTACATGTGCTCGCGAGGGTAGGGTGCCGCCCCCGTTGGCGCCACCGCCGCGAACCCCTTGCGGCCCGGCTGCAACCCGCACATGGGTTTCGCGGTCCACCATGGAAGCGTCCACGTGGACTGGGTAGCGCGGGTGCAGCGCCGCGTCAGCGGCGACCCGCGCCTCGCTCAGCCTGGGGTCGAGGTTCGAGGCCGCGGTGGCGCAGTCCAGGGCGGGGCCCTCAATTGCCTGCCAGCAGGTCGGCTCTGACGGCGCAATGGGGGCCCCCCGCGCCTCCTCGAGCCACGAGCCCTTGAGCTTGTCAGTATCCATGTTCCAGTCCCCCATGGCCGCCCAGTCCAGCCCGCGCGCGTTGAGCGCGCGGGGGCAGGTCCTCAGCTCGTGGGCGGTGTCGCCATTGTCGTCGTCCATGCCGACAGTGTGTCTCAGGTGCACGACGACGACGATCAGGCCACCTCGCTCCCAAGTTGACGTGGCCCGCAAGCGTCCTCGCCTCTTCCGGGATGGGAGAGGGCGCGGAGGGCTGCGCAGTGACCGTGGTGACGTTGCGCGTGAGGAGCGCCGCCCCTCCTGACGCCTCAAGCGCCCCCTCGCCCGTGGTCTGTCCTGGGGCCCACAGCTTGTGGTAGCCCAGGTCGCGCGCCTGGCCTTGCAGCGAGCTCGGCTTATCACCGACGGCCCCGTGCTCCTGCACCGCGAACAGGTCCCCGTCAGGGGTGTCGGCGGGGTGCTCCGTCATTTTTTTTGACCGTGGTCAGCACTCCCTTGACGGTGCCCGAACCGCCAGTCGTACTTCCTGATGCTGTAGCTTCCGTCAACATCGCTACGGCGAAGCAGACGCGCATCGTCCTGCATCTCTTTGCCTTCGTACGCCCTGTAGGCCCACTGACTGGAAGCTGCCGCCATCTTGTGCACCATGGTCCCGATGGCGCCATCATCGGCAGGAACCTCCACCGCCGCCTCGCTGAGGCTGGCCAGCAGCATCTCGATGGGCGCCTTGTCCGCGGCGCACTTGGGACGCTTGGGGTCGGGTGTCTGCCCGCCGGTCTCGCTGGGGGCATCGTCGGGGGCAGGCCGAGCGCGCTCCGGTGCAGGTAGCTGGGCCAGCGCCTTCTCGGCGAGCTTCGGCTGGCCCAGGACGCGTTCCGTGACCTCGCCCGAGGCGCCAAGCTCCTTGGGCAGCGTCTCCAGGCCCGCCAAGTTGAGGTCAGGGCCCCTCTCGACGGGGGCGTCCTTCTCGTCTGGCGGCTGGGGGGGGGGGGCACGGCATTGAGGTCCCGCGTCTTCGCCTCCAGCTCCAACTCCTCGATTCGTAGCGCCTTGCCCCGCTCGCGCTCGTCCTCGAGCGCCTCCTGGGCATTGGTGACCACCTCCTCGGCTTTGGCGACCACCTTCTCCTGCTTGGCGATCGCATCTCGCTTCGCCTTGAGCTTCCTCTGCAGCGCCACCAGCTGGGTGAGGACAGGCTTCTTCGAACGGACCTCCTCGACCATCTTGGAATTCTGCTCATCCAGCTTGTCGATTGTGTCCTTCACCAAGTGCGACGGCGACGGGATGGCTCGTGGGCTCCGTAGTCCCTCGTCGAACTGCGCCAGGAGCTTGTGTTGGGCTTTGTCAGCGTCCTCCCCCTCAGTGGCCTTCGCCGCCTCCGACAGCTGACTCTTGGCCTTGTTCGCAGCCCGCAGCGCCTTGACTTCCTCCCGCAGCCTTGCCATCTCCCTCTGCATGGACCCTTGGGCGAACTGCAGGTAACTCGGCCCCGACACCTCCAGGGCCACCAGCGGCTCCTGGGCCGTTCGGCTGGCGGCGGCGAGGGGCCTCTTCCTCTCCACAAGTCCCCCCGAGGAAGGCCGAAGACTTGTCGACCCCGCAGAAGTGGCACTCTATCTTGGCCCCGAAGGTGACGCATGGCATCCCGAGCTTGGGCCCGCGCTCGTACTTGCAGAACTTGCAGTGCCAGTCGGGCGTGGGTTCGGCGCGGCCGCCAGGCGCCATGGTCCCTCGCCCGCACTCAGGAGGTGCAGCGGGGCCACCCACAGAGCCACGAACCACGTCGCGCGCGTGCTCGCCTGCGGGCGGCAGGAGGCACCCAGCCACCTGAGGCGAATCAGGCCCTGGCAAGAACTGGTTGGAACTGGCCGCGGACTAGCGGCATCCGTTGTTTTCCCAGGGGGACAAAGCATCTTGAGCCAAAATGGTTACGGACGAGGAGGAGGAGGAGGAGGAGGAGGAGGAGGAGGGGGAGGAGGAGGAGGAGGAGGAGGAGGAGGAGGAGGAGGAGGAGGAGGAGGAGGAGGAGGAGGAGGAGGAGGAGGAGGAGGAGGAGGAAGGGGCATCTTGGGAGCCTTTGGGGACACTCTTGCGGCCTCCTGGGAGTTTCCCGGGGGCCTCTTGGAGGCATCCAGGAGGATTTTTTGGCTTCTTGGGGGCCTTTGGGGGCTTCTTGGGGGCCACTTTGGCAGTTTTAAGCCGTTCGTGGGTCGTCTGACGCCGTCTGGTGCCGCCCCGGCAGCCTCTCTGGACCGGTTTGGGGGCCCTCATGGGGCTTCGCTGAACAGACTTTGGGCCCTCTTTGGGTGCTCAGGGCCGTCTTGGAGGCCATCCTGTCTTTGGGTCCTTTTTCGGGCCTTCTTGGGTGCCTCTTGGGCCGTTCTGGGGCCATCTTGGAGACCTCTTGGGCGCTCTGCGGGCGATCTTGGGGGCCTCTTCGGCCGTCTTGAACCGTCGGAAGGCCGAAACGAAACAAAGACCAACATCCGTCAAACTCCCGAGCTGAACCAATGATTTTGGCCTTTTCGGGCTTTCCTGGAGGACGTCTTGGAGGCCTTTGGGCCCTCTTGTAGGCCTCATGGGGGCCTCTTGGGCCGTCTGGGGCCGTCTTGGAGGCCTCTTTGGCGAACTTGGTGGCTTCTCGGACTCTCTTAGGCCGTCTTGGAGGCCATCTTGGATTATCTTGGACGAGCTTGGAGGCCATCATGGCCGTCTTGGAGGCCCTCCTGGGCCATCTGACGCCATCTGGGGCAGGAGCAACCTCTGCAAAGGGGGTCTTCCGGGTGGCCGGCGCGTTGGGCCGAAGCCCCAGGTGGAGCCTTCAGAAGTGCCAGAAACACCTCACGTTCAGCACGCCGGGCACCCCTGTGATAAATCAACAGGGGGCGGCTGGTCTAGTGGCCTTCTGCCCATTCCTTCACCGTGCTCGGGTTGTGGGTCAGAGTCTTCATGGACGTTTCGTGCGATTTTTCTTCCGAGGGCTCTCGGTGGCCCTCTTGGGGCAGTCTTGGCGTCTTTGGGGGGCCCCTGCGGGCCTCTTGGGTGCCTCTGGGTGCTCTCCGCTTCGTGCCAGAGGCACGGTGGCGGATTCTGGTCTGGCGGGATTGACGCAGTACAGCTGGCTGAGAATGGTGGCAGCGACGCGTACACCTCACCATACCCTTGCGGTTGCACCAGCTGCGCAGTCTACCATGCGAGCGAGAGTGGGTATTGCTGGAAACACCGCTGGATGTCGACACTCCGCCCTGTATGGCAGCGAATTCAGACATGCGGCAACGTGATGGCTCTGCTCCTGCTGGTTGCGGTCACAGGCGCTATTGAGAGCGAGCGCCTTGTGGTAGGGCTCGTCGTTGGCGTCGCTTTCGTTGGGTGTACTGCAGCCCACCTGGTGCAGTCGAAACAGTGGGCCGAACTGTGCATCGGTATACTTATCATGCTCGTGGCCATCATTGCCATTCTCAGGGCAGTTTCTGCAACGCGGCGTTTCCAGCAGTTGCTCTACCAGCACCGCGAGCACGTTGCAAATACCATCAATCAGGCCATGAATTGGTCTGCCGCACATGCCAATTTGGATGTGGAGCAGCTGGGGCCAGCACCTCTCAATGTCGATTGCGCCCCGAGGCAGCAGTGCAGCGACCTGAGGACGCTCTACGTGCAGGCGCGGCAGTGCATCCCAGAGTTGAACCGCATTGCGACACATATTCGCAGCGCTGTGGGCGGCCTCCATGCAGCTGAAGGCCCTGGCTTCTCGATTCGCCTGCTCCCCCTACCAGAAGCACGTAGCAGGATCAAAGTTGACCACGGCTGTCGCGTGCCTGACTTGGTTGGTCTCTTATCTTGCACTTTCGATTGTTGCAACATACAGGAGGCGTCGGCTTGCGCCCGAGCGCTGATCGCTTGCCAGCAGCCGATGGACATTGAGGTCAAAAGGCTGGACAACGGCTTCCGCGGTGCAGAGCTCTCCGGAGGCGACAGGACAATTCTGACCACGTGTTCTCTTGGCGGCGGTTTCCTCTGCACGTTCTCCATCCGGTCCGCCGACACAGCGCTGCCCGAAGAAGCCAAAGCTGAGGTTTGGGTGCTTGCGCGCAGAGCGGGGCTTCTGGGGATCTCCCCACTCCGACTGGGATCGTACGTCCGGACCCCTCGCCAAGTTCATGTGGGCATCGGCATGTTGCGTGTGGTGTCCGCGGCGGCCTCTTTGTTCCTGGCCATCTCCTACTTCCTCGAGTACTCCGGCGAGTCGCTCGTCAAGGGGCTCAGCCTTCCACTGCCCCACCTGACCACCGCCTGCATGGTCCTCCTCGACACCTGGGACAGGTCGGTCTGTGAGCGCAGCGGTCGCAGGCGGAGCAGGGTCTCCCACTTCTATCAGAGAGTCTTGGGTGTCGGCGGCAAGTTCTTCTTGCCGAGGGTGGTGGTCGTGCAGACGAGCGGCATGCTTCTGCAGGCGGTCGGTAAGTTGTCGCTGCTTGGAGCAATGGTCACCACTTTGCGGATGCAGCCGCCACGGAACAGTCCTCCGCGACCGTCGGTTGACTTAAGCTCAGGATTTTGGGCCTTGCTATTGACTTTGGTCGCGCACGCATTCTTTGTCGGAATTTACGTTGGCAGCTCGGCTCGTCCAACCTCTGCAGCCAGGCAGACAATCATCGGGATGCTGGGGCCGCTGCTTCTCCAGGTTAGCTACATCCTCAGCTATGGCACCTGCGCGTTCCTCGTCATCCGGCAGACCGACATCTTGCCAGCCAGCATCACACAGGATGAGAACAGGGCCGTTGCGGACCTGTTTTTCACGGACACCGTCGTTGGAGGGCACGCGAGGCCGGACAAGACTTTCGCATTCCCAGACCTCTCCAGACCCGTCGCGTTCTTTGCCCTGGCGCTCCCCGCGGCGGGCCTCATGCTGACGACTCGAGCGGTCGAGGAGCGCCTGGCCTTCCTCGGGCCGGGTGCTCTGGCCCGCTTCGCCCCGCCTTTGGGCCGTGCCTCCCGGACACGCCTCCGCGACCGCGGGCCGATGCTGACCCGCCCCTCTGGTCCCTCAGGTCCGTATCGTTTAACCAATCCCATCCCCATCCCCATCCCCTTCGAGACTCCCACCAATCACCACCCCAGTTGGGGGAAGCACCCCTCGAAACTCGAAGGGACTCGAAGGGAACGACCAATATCCCCATCTAGGGGGGTAAATCGGTCAGTGGGGCCCAGGCCACGCCGCTGGGGATGGGGATCGGTTCAACGATACTCAAGGTTCTCCCGCGGTCCACGCCCGTACGGCCTCAACCCGGCGCCGATGCGTGGTTGTCGCAGGCTTGGCTGCACATCAGAGTGACCGTTCGCCGGGGTGGCCTTTGGGTGCGCATCGTTCGAAGAAGGAAAGATGATGCAAGCATGACCTTCTGGAGATCCGCGCAGATTTCGTGGATCGGCGCTGGAGCCCCCCTCCCTGGCGCGCGGAGCGCGCCAGGAGCGGTGCCGGAAGCGCCGCCGGGGGGGGGGGGGGGTCCAGCCCCGATCCAGGAAGTCCGCGCGGCCGGCCGAGGAGTGAATGCTTCTGCAGCTGTTCGCCTTCAGGCTCTCGGGGGGCCCAGGGGGAGGGGGGTGTGAGGCACACCCAAGCGTGCAGGCCGCCACCGTCGCACCTCGCGCCGCGGTCGGCAGCCCGCGCACGAAAGGCCACTCGTGCCGGGGGGGGGGCCGCTCCGGCCCGCGGCCGGCAGGCGCCCTCGTCCCCCTCGTCTCCCTGGTGCTGCTGGGTGCCATCCTGGCGGTGGGCAACTCGGACCGTTTCCCGCTCGAGACCACGCCGAGCTGCTTCCCCTGCTGGTGCTCTGCAGAGGGGGAGCTCCGCTCCTGCGGCGTGGCCGTGGACATGAGGTACAGAGTGCTGAGCTTGGAGCAGGCCGGGATCGCTCGCATTCGCCCGGGGGCTTTCTCGCCCTCCGCCTTCGTGTCCAGCCCGAACCTGATCAGTGAGGCCAGCTTCAGAGGAAATGTGCTGGAAGCGCTGGAAGCGGGCACCTTCCAGCACATGCCGCAGATCACGTGGCTCGACTTGCGGGACAACACGTTGGAGGTCATTGCACCTGGCGCCTTCGAGGGCCTCGAGCGCGCACGAGACCTCCTGCTGGATCTGAGCCCGAACATCAGCGTGTCGATACGTCGGTGCGGAGGTTACGGCTGCAGGCTGCCCGCTCTGAAGGCGGGCGCCTTCAGAGGCCTTCCCCGCCTGCGCACCCTGGGACTTGGCCTCAGCGGAGCCACGGGCACCGGCGTACCCTCGATGGAACCAGGTCAGGGTCCACCTCGATCCGACCAATCCCCTTCGATATCGACGTCGGCCGTCTTGATCCGATTCGAAATCGATGTTGCAGCGGTCCGATGCAGTCCGATGCTTGCATGGTGCCGTTGCGCACCTTGACGCAGCCGATCCGAATCTGCCTCGATTCCGTTCGATGCCGCGCGACTCGACGCACGCTCCGATCTGGAACCGACGTCCCGATCCGATGCCGACCCCTCTCTGATGGGCTCGCCTTCCACCGCCACCACTTCCAAGTAGGAGGGGAGGGGGTCCTCCTCTTCCTCCTCCTCCTCCTCCTCCTCCTCCTCCTCCTCCCCCTCCTCCTCCTCCTCCTCATCCTCCACCTCCTTCCCCCCTCCAACTTGTGGTGGTGGTGGTGGAAAAACTCCAGATTTCGTAATAAAAGGGAGGGGGTCTGGACCCTCCAAGACAAGCCATCTCAGACCCCCCCCGTGGGAGAACCCTCCAAAACATCGTCCCCAGACCCCCCCAGGCCCTCCAAGATAGCCTGGAAGAGACCCCCCCCGAAATGAGACCCCCCTCCCTTTCTTACGAAGTCTGGAGCAGGCCCACCACTCTCGGCAGGTGCCTTCTCGGGCCTGGACAGCCTGGAGGTCCTCCGGCTGGACTCGGCCGAGTGCTTCGACGCCTCGGGGCGGCTGCTGCCCGGCCTCTTCGACGGTCTGGGGCAGCTGCGCGTGCTCGTGCTCTCCGGGACCAGGGTGTCGCAGATGGGCCCAGGACCGGCACGGCCGAAGTTCGGGGGCGAAAAAAAGCAAGGGCTCCCACGAGGGTGCGAAGTTATTCGCGCTTCGCGCTTCGCGGTCCTCGTTCCTTCTCCTCCTCCTCCTTGTCCTCCTTTTCTCCCTTTGGGGGGGTGGCGCGAGAGCGCGAAGTTATTCGCACTTCGCGCTTCGCGCAGCGCGAAGCGCGAAGTTGGGAGCCCTTGAAAAGGGGGGTGATGACTAGGGGGGGGGTGGACCTCATGGCGGGGGTCATGATATCTCCCCAGATTTCATGGCGCCCATTCCTATGTCATTGCGTCCCTGGCCCCCCCGCTGGGCCGCGCGCATGCCGCCGGTCATGATTTGCACCCCCCCCTCCTGAACACCCCCCTCTTGGCCGCTCCCGAGAAGTGGGCAGGGCAAGAATTTTAGGCCTCCTAGATGGGGTCGGAGTAGGTGGGGCCGGAGGATCGCGCCGCGTCGCCGATGCGCCGGCGATGTATCGGCGATGTGGCCGGATGCGGAACCCGATTTTGTCCACGCCTACGTCGCCGGTTGCTGGTGCCGCCACGGAAGTTGCCCATTTGAAACAGAAGGCCGCCTGCCCGACAGCGGCCGCTGTCGATTTGGAACGTCCGTGCTGGGCGTGGGAGCCATGCTCGTCCGTACCCAATTCGGCGTCCGAGCAGGAGATTTTGCCGGCACTCCGCGCCTGCGCCTCCTCGACGTCTCCAGCAGGCGGTCGTCGGAGCCGGGAGGTCTCGAGGTGCAGCCCGGAACGTTCCAGGGCCTCGCGCAGCTGCGCTTCCTGGACCTGTCCTACGTGGGCATGGAAGACCTGCAGCCTGGTGCCCTCGCGGGCTTGTCCGAGCTGCGTCACCTCGGCCTGAGCCAAAACTCGCTTCGACGGCTGCGCGCGGGGGTACTGCAGGGCTTGGGAAATCTCGAGGAGCTGGACCTCTCTGGCAACAATATCACGGAGGTTGAGCCTGCCGCCTTCGATGGTTTGAGAAGTCCCCCCTTGCAGTCGCTGAGCCTCCGAGGCGCGCCCTTGCACAGCTCGGCGCTGGCATGTACCGAGGCAGTGGTCTGCAGAGACAGCTTCATTGCATTGTGGAGGCTGGCGCGCGCGTTCGTGACGAACATCTTTGTAGACGGACTGGGGTGCTCCGAGGCTCGCCACCTGTGCGGCCAGGATGCGTCGCAGACGCTCACCTTGATCGACCCAGCTTGCCCAGAGACCTGTGGCACGTGCGGCGCCTTCGCGGCCGACGACTCGCAGGCCGACAGCTGCGCTGACAAGGACTGGGTTTTGGTGTATGGCTCTGCCCTCGCTGCAGGAGTCGAGCTTCCGCCCGGTGCGCCCGGCGCGCCCGGCACCGCCCGGCCGCTGGCCACCTGGAGCACCTGTGCAGACGTGGTGGCCTCGGGGGCCTGCGAGCACCCTTTCTGGCACGAGGCCGTCTCTCTGATCTGCCCAGTCACCTGCGACAAATGTGGGGTGTCCAAGGACCGCCCCTGCGCGGACGTCTCGTTCTTTACCGACACTCTGGGCTACAATGCTTGCCAGGACGATTTGTTCGTCACGCTGTGTGGCAACGACGGAGCACTCGGGGATCTCGTCCGACTAATTTGCCCAAGCAGCTGCGGCGAGTGCACGAACGCCACGGAGGGTTGCGAGGGCACCACCGTTGGCCTGACGCTGGGCGAGGTGTTGGAGCTGCTGAACGCAGGCGCGGCTACACATGGGCCCTGAGAGAGCCCACGTGGTTTAGCCCAATTTGGCACACAGCTAAGTTTTACAGATGTGTGTACGAAGACATGTTTACATACATGCATCCATGCACACATTCATTCATGTATGCATACATACATACACATACATACACACATACAAACACTACATACACACACATACATACATACATACATACATACATACATACATACATACATACAACCATACACATGTGCATACAAACATACATACATACACACATAGATACATACATATACATACATATACACATACATACAATCATACACACATACATACATACATACATACATACACGCATCCATACATACATATGTACATACATACATACATACATACATACATACATACATACTTGCATACTTACATACTTACATACATGCACACATCCATACAGCCATGCATGCATACATACATACATACATACATACATACACACATACATATATACATACATACATACATACATACAAACATACATACATACTTACATACATACATACATACATACATACATACATACATACATACACACATGCATGCATACATACATACATACATACACACAAACATACATACATATACACACATACATACATACATACATACATACATACATACATACATACATACATACATACATACATACATACATACATACATACATACATACATACACATACACATACGTACTTACATACACACATACACGCATGCATGTATGCATACATACATACATGCATGCATGCATGCATGCATGCATGCCTCCATCCATACAGACATACATACATGCATGCATGCATGCATGCATGCATATATACATACATACATACCTTCCTCCCTCCCTACCTACCTACCTACATACATGCGTACAACCAGACGTCCATACATGTCGGCGGTGCCCGGTGCGGAGCGACCCCCCCCCCGGTAATCTCTCCTGGGGGGGTTCGAGTTGGCGCCATTCCCGGTGCGAGCCTGCACGACCCCCCCTGGTCAACACGACCTCCTCTGGTAGGCTGCACGAACCCCCCCCCGGTAAGGACGCAACCCCTCCGTAAGCGGCGCGCTCCCGGACGCGCGAACCCCAGCCCCGACGCACGAATCTTACCAGGACGGGCCGGAACACGGCGGCGGCATTGCATCCCAGGGCCGTGCCGGAACACGGCGGCACTGTTTTTCTCTACGCGGCCGTGCCGTCGACCCCCCACAGCGGCTCTCGGGAGTTGCGCCGCAGCCTCTCGTATTGTGGCCACGAGCCACAATACGAGAGGCTGCGGCGGAACAAAGGCGAGCAGACGCGAATAGAGAACACAAGGCGAGCACACGCCACACTTCGACAGGGAGCCACCCTTCCCAACCGCCCCCCTGCCCCCCCCCCAACCCACCCCCCACTCCCACCCCCCCACTCCCACAGGGGGGGGGGGGGAGCCCAGGTAGACGCAGTGCGGCCTGCACGAACCCCCCCGGTAAAGCGACAGGGGAGGACCCAATGCGGCCTGCACGAACCCCCCCGGTAAAGCGGCAAGGGGGGGGTGTTCTAGCCGCTGGCGGCACCCGGTGCGGGCTGCACGAAACCCCCCGGTAGTGCACGAAACCCCCTGGTAGTGCTGGGGGGGGGGGTTCGCGCCACGGCGCACCGCCAACATACATATCTATAAGCAAATAGGCCATCCCCCTGGCCTGGGTCAGCCGACCCCGCAGCCATCGGCGGAAGCCCGCTGATACCCCCCTCGTTTCGCTCCCCAGTGGCGGCCCCGAGAGGCCAAGAGGGTGCCAAAACGAGCCAAGAGGTTTCCAAGCGACCCCCAAGATGGCGCAAGAAGGTCCCGAGCTGCCCAACACGGCCCAGGAGGACTCTCAGAGCATTCCCAAGAGGGACCCAAGAGGCCCAAATCATTATATACCGATTGAGAAGCGTACGTTTTTAGTATGTAATTACGACGTTTCAGCTTTCGCGGCTTTCAGGACGGTCCGAGAGGCTCCCAAGACTTCCCCAAGACAGCCCAAGACGTTCCCAAGAGGCCCCCGAGCCAGCCCAAGAGGGCGCCAAGACGGCCCAAGGGCCGCCTAAGACGGCCAAGTTGGCCCCAAGACGGCGCCCAAGACGGCCTAAGAAGGCCCCGAGTCGCCCAAGACGGCCCAAGATGGCCCCAAGACGGTCCCAGAACGCTCCGAGGCGTCCCAAGAGGCCTCTAAGAGCACTCCCAGGAGGGCCCCAAGAAGCCACAATCGTTGAACACCTACGGGAAAACGTACAGTTTTATCATAGCGACGTTCCGGCCGTCACGGCTTCGAAGACGGCCCAAGAGGCTCCCAAGACTTGCCCTAGAGAGCCAGCCCCAAAACGGGCTCAAAGAAGGTCCAACAAGGCCCCGCCCGAGTCGCCCACGATTGCCCAAGATGGCCCCAAGAAGGTCCAAGAAGGCTCCGAGACGCCCCAAGAGGCCTCCAAGAGCACTCCCAAGAGGATCCCACGAGACCAAATTCGTTACATTTCGGTAGGCGAAGCGTTTATCTTAAGCATATACGGTGTTGGGGCCTTCACGGCTTTGGAGACAGTCCAAGAGGCCCCCAAGACTTCCCCAAGCGAACCGAAGACTCTCCCAAGAGGCCCCCAAGATAGCCCAAGAGGGCGCCAAGACGGCCCAAGGGCCGACTAAGACGGCTCCAGGAGGGGTCCAAGAGGGGAGCTCCGACTTGAAAATTGCAGCCTTCGGCCCAGAGAACCTCCAAGGAGGCCCCAAAAGCCCCCAAGAGGCCCCACGAGGTCCCCAAGAGACCCCCAATAGGCCCAAACGAGGCCCCGCATATACACATGCATACACGTATACATATACATATGCATCTAACTATAGTTATGCATTGACTTAGATTCGAACTCATTCATGCCCACATATAGTAATACACACATGTACAAACCCAATATGCATTTACATACATATATACATATACATATGCATATACATTTGCATATACATATACATATACAGACACATCTACCTATACATGCATACATAATCATACATACCCCTATACCTATACACACGGGTATGCATATACATATACATCTACACATTCGTATACGTATACACATGTCTATACCTATGCATATAACTATGCATTAGACATTGTACATTACACATATCCACCCACACATTTACACATACATATACGTACACATGTAGCTATACACACATGCACACATACACCTGAACACATTTTTACATACGCATGTACCTAACCATCAACATATACACATACAGAGGCACATGTACACATACAATTGCCGATACATATGCATATATTCATATTTAGAATATGTAAGTTTATTCATACCTACACATATATACGTAGACATACACATATACACATGCACATACATCTACATCTACCTATACGTGCACAGATATACGACCGCGACGACTTGTTGGCCCATTCTTAGGTCGCTGTGGGATGGCCTCGGGCGGTCTTGGGAGTCACTTGGGCCGTTGGCGTAGTTCTTGGGTGTCCCAGCGGGGCTGGTCACAAAATAGAGGTATTCAAAGTTCGACCCTGAAGCCTAGCTAGAACCTAAGCACGCTCGAAGCTTGCGTGTTTCTAGTTTATATATATATATACGTGCAGGCATACACACATACACATACACATACACATACATACATATAGTCTTACATACACACATCGGCATACATATATATATACATATATATAAAACTAGATACGCACATACATACATACAATCGTTCATACATGCATACACACATACATAACTTGCATGCATGTACATACGTACATACTTACACACATACATACATACATACATACATACATACATACAACAATATACATGTACACATACATACACGCACAAATACATACGTACGTACGTACATCCATCCACACACATACATATATACACATATATATGTATATCTATTCACAACTACACGCATCCATACATACGTATATACATTCATACATACACACACCCGCACGTGCATACACGCATGCATCCATACATATTGTACCACGCCCATGAATACATACGCACATACATACACACAACAACCATGTACACTTATATTCACACATGCATGCAGGCATACACACGTACATGCATACATACATATAATCATCCATCCATACACACATACATATTCACATACATACGTATAACCGTGCTTACTTAAACCGTACGTACATACATACATGACGTGGTATGCAGTATGCATGCACACATACAGATACACGTCCATGTATGCATGCATCCTTACATACATGCATGCACATATACATACACACATGCACACATACACACATACATACATACATACATACATACATACATACACACATACATACATACATACATACATACATACATACATAAATACATACATACATACATACATACATACATACATACATACACACATACATACATACACACACATACATACATACATACATACATACATACATACATGCATGCATGCATACATACATACATACATACATACATACATACAAACATACATACATACATACATACATACATACATACATACATACACACATACACTTACATACACACACATGAGTACATACATGCAGTCACTTACATACATACACATAACGGAGGACTGGGCCTGGGGGTGCGTGGCCAGCAAGTGCGGGGCCCGGGGGATGCGGCTGGCTCTTGGGGTGCTGGAAACCGCCTCCGAGTGAGGTTGGGCAGCCGTTCAGTTGGCCTTGGACGGCCCCGAGTCACCCCCAGGATTCCCTTCAGGGTTTCAGACGGCTCTCGAGAGGCTCCAGATGTCTCAAGAGAGGCTGAGGACAGCCACAGAGAGCCCCTGAAGACTCTCCAGGACACCTCCGACAAGCCAACACATTTGTTTTGATCACCGGAAGTCGATGCGTTTGGCCTTTTCGCCTTTTCGCCTCCGATGGGCTGCTGAGGCCCCAAACTCGCCCTCAGGAGGCCCTAAGACGCCCCCGGAAGCACCCAAGAGGCCCCAAGAAGCCCGAAGACGCCTCTCCGCTGGTTAAGCTTGTCCTAGGGGTGTTCAAATGTTACCAGCGCGTTCTTTACCGCAGTTGTTGGTTGAGGTTCCCGTCGACTGGTCGCACTCGGACTTCTTGTTTGGAAGACAACGCGTGCTGCACTAGTTGCTGTATTTGCGACGTGATTGCGCAGATAGCAGCTAGTGGGGCGTCACCAGCCTGCGCATCCTGGATGCAACATATGCTGCAATGACGGCATATCAGGTGAATCGATGGGCCGCCACCAGTTTTCAACAAATTCATGATTCGTCCGTATGTTTGCGGCCAGCTTGCTTGTATATGGTTGTATTGCGCGTGGCTCTAGATATCCGACGTTTGCTGTAGCGATGCTGCTGGAAGACGACGTGAGCTGCAATCGTTGCGGTATGTGCGACGTGGCTGCCCAGAAAGCAGGTATTGGGCTCTGTCATCAGCCTTCGTATCCTGAGTACAACATTTGCAGCTATTTTTCCATATTGTGTGTGAGGCGTGGCTGCCAAGATAGCCTGTAGTGGGGGCGCCATCAGCTTTCACACAAGTCTAAATTAATCCGAACGCCTGCGGCTAGCTTGCTTGTGCATTGCTGCACGTCGCGAGGCCCTGGAGATAGCCCGCCATCGCTCCCGAAGACAGCCGCCAAGGCGGCCCAAGAGGGCCCCGAGCCACCACCGAGGCGGCCTCCAGGGGTCTCGACGGCTTTCGAGAGGCTCCAGACGCTGCAAGACACGCTCAAGACAGCCTCGGAGAACTGCCCAGGACACATCCGACAAGCCGAAAGCCATCAACCACACATGGGGAATCGATGATTTGGGCATTCCCGCCTCGTCGCCACCGATCCGCTGCCGAGGCCTCGAGCACGCTCGCAGGAGGCCCCAAGACGCCCCCAGGAAGCCTCAAGACGCCCCCACCAGGGGCCCACAGTCTCTTCCAAGAGGGGTCAGACGGTTGATGGACAACATCCTGCACCGCCCGCGCAACCGGGGCGACGGCGCAATTTTCCACGCGCCACCCCTTGCCCCTGATTCAATGTTGATTGGCTGTGACCGCGGGGTGCAGGATTTAAGCCAGTTGGCAGATCGACAGCTCGCGCCACAGTCTGTCAATAGCGCTGGGGGCGAAAACACAAATCAAAAGAATTGTACACGATTTTCTCCATCAGCCAGAGAGCCATCCAGGCGCCACAGGGCGGCCCCGAGTCACTCCCGAGGCGGCCTCCAGGTACCGAGGACGACTCTGGAAAGGGGCTCCAGGTGCCTCTAGAGACGCTCAAGATGGCCCCAGGGAGCCTCAGGAGATTCTCCAGGACACCTCAGCTTCCTCTTCCTCCTCCTCATCCTGCTCCTCCTGCTCCTCCTCTGCCTAGCCATTTTGCGCCCGAGCCGCCCTTTGCCTGAGGAGGCAGCGCGGGCGAGTTGCACGCCAACTTCAAAGTGGCCTTGCGTGCAAGAGCGTATGGCCCCCAAGCCCAAGCATCAGCAGCAGCATGGATCTTGGAGGTGCGGGCACTGCACCTCCAAGAATGGGGACGGCTACGACTATTGCTGGAAGTGTTGGAAGGCCAAGCCCGCTGCAGGCACAGCTGACGACACCAGCAAATCCACCGACGAGGCCGACAAGGACAAGAACCCGACCGCCGAGCAGCTTGCCACGTTGCGGTCCAAACTGGCGGAGCTCAAGAAGATGTCGGATGACCCCATCCTTGGCGAGCTCGTGGTGGACAAGATCGGCCCGCTCCAAGAGAGGGTTGACGCGATGCAGGCAGAGATCGACACGGGAGTGCCCAGGTGCTTCACCGAATGCAGGGTGGTGCGAGACCGCAACAGGGTCGAGGAGCAACGGGACAAGTGCAAGCTGCGCACCACCAAGCTGGAGGAGGACCTGGCCAAGGCTCAGAAGGCGCTGGACGACGAACGTGCAGTTCTACAGCGTCACGAGGACAAGCTGCAGAAACTCAACACGAAGATCGAGGAACTCTCGGTACCGAGCCCGGGCACTGGCTGGGGCGCAGCGGTGGCCTTCCTGGAACAGGCTGCCAAGTGCCTCAAGCACACTGGGGGTGGAGGAGGCAGCCAGGGACACAGTGACGTCAAGCTGCAAGAGGCGCTGGAGCACGCGCGGTCGCAGAAGAAGCTTGAGGACGAGAAGGCTGCCAAGGCCGAACAGGCCCGTAAGGCCGCCGAGGAGGAGGCCGGCCGTCTGCGAGCCGAGGAGGAGGAGGAGGAGGAGGAGGAGGAGGAGGAGGAGGAGGAGGAGGAGGAGGAGGAGGAGGAGGAGGAGGAGGAGGAGGAGGAGGAGGAGGAGGAGGCAAGCAAGGCCGCCGCCTCCCAGGGAGGCCGCGCCAAACGGCGCGCAGCAGCCGACACCATCGTCAAGGAGGACATGCTCGAGTTCCCCGCGGGCTCCGACGAGCAGGCGGTGCGCAAAATCATGCAGGACGGCGGCGTCACGCCCGAGCAGATGGACGTGCACGCCCCTCCCATGGCTGTTCTGCTTGTTGGCATGTTCGCCGGGACGTGCATCACCATCTCCAAGCTGCAGTGGACGAAGCCTTCGTGTTCCTGACGACGCACGCGGCGACCAGGAGTTCATCACCATCAACGCGAACTCCCTGGGCACGCTTGAGCGGGTCATGATGCAGGTGGGCTACTTGGTGCAGACGCCCGCCATCACGGCACAGGAGCTGCAGGCCGACGAGCACAGGATTAACTGTTCGTCGGGCGCATTGAGAAGCTGGACTGGAGGCTTGGCCGTGTGCCGAGCGTCAAAGAGGAGGGAGGCTGGAGTGCGGGAGTCTTGGTGGCCACGCGGCGCCGCCAAGGCGTGGACTTCGCACGGAGAGACATCCACATCTGGGACATCTCACCGCCAGCCTCGAGGGGAAGACTAGCCGTGGCATAGCTAGATGGAGTGTGCGAGGGAGGCCCGCTCTTCGGGTCGGCTTACCTTTGGACCAGCGAGGGCCTCGCGCGCAGGAGCCAGCTGATCCTCGCCAAGTGGGCGAGCGTCGTCGACGCCACTGGCTACCAGTGGGTGCTCGGGGGCGACTTCAACATGGACCCGCACGTCGTCAGGGACTCGGGGCTGCCCTGCAGGATGAACGGGATCATCGTGCACGACAGGCAGCAGGGCTCTTGTACGATGCTCGGGCAGCAGTACGGCAGAGACTACTTCATCGTCTCGAAGAACCTGGTCTTCGGGCCGCTGGATGCGACGGCGCAGAACGGCTGCAACGTTTCGCCGCACTCCCCCGTCGTGCTCCGGCTCGCGAGGCAGCGCAGGGACGATCGGATGGTCTAAGTGCTCCAGAAGCCGCAGCGGTGGCCGCTGGAGTTACCCATGGGGTGCGCGACGCCCCCAACGCATTGGCCTCGCCCTCTGCCGAGGCACGGAGGGCGCAGCCAGGACGTCATGGATGACCACTGGCGGGCGCTGGGCGTGGCCTACGAGGAGCACCTCAACCGCTTCCACAACTTCGAGGGGGGGGAGTTGACGCGCGGCAGGGGCACTACGAGCAGGCCACCTACAAGTGGATCTACATGGAGGCGCCGAGGCTGAAGGGGGCGTCCATGGAGCAGGCCTGGGCAGAGGCAGCCGAGTGGCTGTCACGACGGCTCAGGCAACTGACAAACTTCGCGACGCGCTGGTGGGCCAGCGAGACCGACGAGACGAGGCGGCAGGCAATCCACGTGGCCTACGCCATGCTGGCCCACGAGATCGACATGCCGCTGATGAGGGCGGCCCCGGGGCCCTCGCGGCGGCCCCGCCGGGGGGCTCCCTGGGGGGCCTGCAGCCCGCCACCAAAGAGGCAGCTGCCGGGGTCGCTGGGGACGACCCTGCTGGGGGCGCCGCGCCGCAGCGGTGCCCTTTTGCAGTTGGACCGCAGAGTGAAAAGGGCACCGCGTGGGAAGACGAGGCGGCGCCGCTGGTGTCGGAGGACGAGGGCGCGCCCCTCCCCGACCTCCCCTGCGAGGAGGCGGAAGTGGTACAGAGCCGCCTCGCGGCTGGAGCGCTGCCCCGCGGGGGGGGGGGGGGGGGGGGGGGGGGGCGGCCGGGCGCCGAGGGGCAGCTCGCTTGGGGCGCAGTGCAGTGGCCTGCCATCGTGAACACGGTGGGCAGCATCGACGTCGACAGGATGACGGCTCAGGAGCTGCAGTGCATCGACTGCGTCGCGACCCTCCTGGACGTGGCTAGTCGGAGGAGCTGGAGGCTGGCGCATCGCGCGTCAGCCGCAGGCTGGAGGGGGTGGCTACGTGACCACGGAGCCGCAGGCGCGGGTGCCATGCACAAGTGGACCAAGCCGCGCGTGCCGTGGCAGCCGACTGCGCCAACCCCAGAACGATAACATCAGCAAGCACGCGCTCGCGCACCCCCAGGGGGCCGCTGATCACTCGCTCGCAGGCTGGGAGGCGATGTGGGGCGATGAGTACGACCCGACTGCGCCATGGTGCCAGCCCCCCGCAGCGCTCGAGAGGGAGGAGTACAGGACGCCACCCATCACGCCCAAGGATGTGCTGGGCGCCAGTGACACGTTCCTCGCCAAGACGGCAGTCGGGCTGGCATCCGCGACTCTGGAAGCAGGGGGGCGTCCAAGGGGCAGCGCGCGTGGCAAGCGTGCTCGACGCGGTGGAGGCAGGGTCGCCATGGCCCGAGCCTCAATCCACCATCCTGTTCTACCTGCTCGCGAAGCCCGCAGGAGGCTACAGGAACCTCGGCTCAGAGCTGGCGAGGTTGTGGGAGACCATATGGTTCCCTTGCGCCAGGCGCTGGGGGGAGGCGAGCAGACGGGTGTATGACTGGGCTGCCAAGGGCCGCTCAAGCGAGCGGGCGGCCTGGGTCCAGGCGCTCTTGTGCGAGGCTTCAGTCGCGGAGGGGCTTGAGTACGCCGTGACGTACTTCGACTTGGTCATGTGTTTCGAGTACGTGACCCACGAGCTGGTCTGGAAGGCGGGCTCGCGGTGGGGCAACCGCCTCACCCTGAAGGTCGTCCTCAGGATCTACGCGATGGTGAGGCGCATCGTCCTCGACGGGTGCTACACGCGTGGGCGGCGCTGGGCCAGAGGAATTGTGGCAGGAAGCAGGTTCGCGCCCCTCTGCCTAAATATGGTCCTATACATGGTGCTGGGCGGGGTTGTAGAGGCCTTCCCATGGGCGGGCGCCTGCCTGTTCTTCGACGACCTGGCGATGGCGACGCACGGCGTCGGGGAGTTCGTGCAGTGCTGGCATTCCCAGCTTGTGCAGACGCTGATCAACATGTTCGAGGTGGTCCTGGACATGCGGGTCTCCCGGGGCGAGGGGGGCAACGCGGTCGCCCTGGCTTCGACCTCGGCCTTGAACGCGGAGCTCGGCAAGCGCGTCCGCACCCGCGGCGTGAGGATGGTAAAAGGAAGAGAATCACCTCGGCGTTGCGACGGCCGCGGGCAGATGCCGGCGAGTGGGGGCTTTCAGCAAGAGGGCAGTCAAGTTCGCCGCCAGACGGGATCGGGTCGCGAGGGTCTGGCGAGCCGGGGGGCCGGCACACGAGGTGATCAGGCGCGCCAAGGTGCCGTCGTTGCCCTACGGCGTCAATGTCATGGGTATGGCCGACACCAAGCTGGGCGAGCTGCGGCAGAGCGTGGCGACGGCCACGGCTGGCAATGCGAAGGGGCGGTCCACGTGCCTGACGCTGCTGGCCGACGACGTAGACCCAGGCATTCTGGCCAGCGCGTCCCCGATCCTGGCGTGGGCGCAGACCTGGCAAGAAGCAGAGGGCGACCCGAGTCTCGTGCCGACGCTCCAGGCCGCATGTAAGCGGCTGGTTTTCCGAGTGGGCCATGCGAAGGCCCCGTGGCAGCAGGTGAGAGGCCCAGCAGCGGCCTTCGTGGCGACGGTCAAGAGGCTCGGCTGGGTGACCCAGGCGGCGCATTCGATTACCATCGGCTCCAACATCATCGACCTGAGGGCGATCCCCCTCCACGAGCGGCATCGCTACGTCCGCGCCGCCACCGAGCAGGGCCTCGAGGACGCGTGGTTGGCCAAGTGGGGGGGCGAGTTCAACATGCAGTCGATCTTCGCTGAGCCTGCGAGGGCGCTCCTGCGGCGCCCATGCCGCGGGCGCTGGGCGCAGGCGCGCCAGACGCGCGTGGGGGCGCTCTGGTGCGGGGGCACGTGGCCGCAGGCGCGGCTGCGTGCCAAAGGAGCGGCACCATCTGCAAGGTGTGCGCGCCATCTGCAAGGCGCTGCTGCCCTGGTTGCACGCCATCTGCAAGGCGTGCCACCAGGGCGAGGGCACGGACAGACACCGCATCTTGGTCTGCGAGGCGAGGCAGGAGGAGCGTCGGCGTGTGGGTGGCGCCCACATCGTGCAGCGAGGAGCCAACCCGTGGCCAGGGTCCGAGCAGCTTTGGGGCCGTGGGCTGGCCAACGACCCCGCGGTGATGCTCGGCCTGTGGGACCTCGCCGTCGCCGACACCATTCGCGTCGAGGGTGGCGCGGCGACATCGCGGGTTTCGCCGCGGGCCGAGTGCACTCCGATGGCCGCCTGTTGTGCGGCAAGTGCGCTGCCCTACGACGCGGAGGTTGGTCATTCGTGCAGCTGAACGAGGACATGTCCTTGAAGGGCGCATGCTGCGGGCCCCTGCCAAGGCCGCAGTGGCCGCAATCCATATTCCTGAGCGAGCTGATGGCCGTGCTCCGCGTGCTGGAGGTGGCTTGCCCGCCCATCATCATCGCATCCGACTGCCAGTCGGTCATCGACGGGCTTCTGAGAGGGCCCTCGTGGGCGGCGCGCCCCGCCACGCCGCGCAGAGACGCGTGGGCGCGCTGCTGGGCCTTGATCGTTGAAAACGGTGGTCTGGGGCTGCGAGGGGTCATTTTCGAGAAAGTAAGAGCCCATGTCGCGAGAGCCCAGCGAAACGAGATGGGCCTCGAGCCGTGGAAAGGAGAACAACTTCGCCGATCTGTATGCCAAGCAAGGAGCTCGACTGCAGCAGCGCCCTGAATGGCACCGAGCTGCATGCATGCAGCGATTCAAACTCGTTACGGATGTGCTTGAGTTCGCAGCCTGCGTAGGAGCGTTAGGCAGAGGTCTCGTTGACACCTCCGAGGGCTCGAGTCCGGTCGAGCGGGGCTCGAACCCGCCCAGACCCCCCGGACCCCGGCCTGGTGGGGTTGAGGGGGGGCCGTGGAACCTCCCCACCTTCCGCCTCCCGGCGCCCCGCCCTACCGCGCTGGGGCGGGGGGGGGGGGGAGCGGAGGTGGGGTCGAACGAGCCCGCGCCCAGGCCCGTGTGATGCGTCCCCCGTGTGATCTTCCGTCGCCGATGTGCCAGGTACGCTCAGAACAGATGGGTTGGTTTGCTGTCGAGCTGTGTCGAGGGGCACCCCCGAACAATTGCTGGGCGTTTGAGCCGTCTGTGGGAAGGTCGACACCCCGCCATGGGCGAGCCGTTTTGACCAAAGCCGCATTTTATCGCCCAGGGACGGCCTGGGGTAAGGGGAAGCTTTTAACGTCGCCGTGGTGCGTGCCTCGGAGCTGCGGAGATCAGGCTAGCATAATCCAGCATAGTCCTCCTCTGCCTGGGGCCGCGCGCGCACGGCGCGCGGGCGACCAGGGGCCGCGTGGCGACCGCCTACGGCCCCTCTCCCCCCATCAACGTGCCAGCAGCAGCAACCGAGCACGTGCACGTGTACAGCACGCCAGCATGCAACGTAGCAGTACAGCAGGTGTAGAGCGGTTCTCGAAAATCAGCCGCAACGAGCAATTCTAACTTCTCGAGTCTCACCGCAGATAGTAGAGCGAAGTCAACTCGGGGCTCCCAGGGAGGGCGCGCCATTTTCATACCGTCCGTGCGCGAAATGCAGGTCGTACATGTCGAGTCATATTTTTGCTGTGTTCCAGTGGTTGACTCTCGAGCCGAGGCCCGATGCAGCCACCGTCCGACCTTTATAATCCTTATGAATAGCCTCTCCCTGTTGCAGCCCGAGGCCAGTTTTTAGGGCGGGCAGTGCGTTGCGCCCGTGATTTTCTCACGATAGTGATTTTGGAGCTTAAAACGAGGCAGCAGCTTCACGGATTGAGCGCATTCGTTTTCAAAGTGTGCAAGAGTTTCGCGGATTGAGGGTGGGTGGTTTTCAACATGTGGCTCCTGCCTTAGCGCCGCGCACACTCGTTTTGAAACTGTGCAAGAGTTTCACGGATTGAGGGCGGGCGGTTTTCAAAATGTGTGTCCCGCCTTAGCGCCGCGCGCATTCGTTTTCAAAGTGTGCAAGCGTTTCACGGATTGAGGGCGGGTAGTTTTGAACATGCGTTTTTTCCATTCGCGCCGCGCACATTCGCTTTAAACGTGTCCAGGAGTTGCACGGATTGAGGGCGGGCGGTTTTCAACATGTGATTCTCGCCTTCGCGCCGCGCGTATTCAATTCAAACATGTGCAACAGTTTCACGGATTGAGGGCTGGTGGTTTTGAACATGTTTTTTTTGCTTTAACGCCGCGCACATGTGTTTTAGACGTGTGCACGAGGTCCACACATTGAGGGCGAGCCGTTTTCTAAATGTAGTTCTCGCGTCGGCGCCGCGCACATGCGTTTCAAATCGCCAGGCGAAGGGCCCAACCATATGCAGTCGTGCGCACCGCAATTGTGCATATCTTTTTCGGTGGTGCTCCCTATGGGGCCACGAATCCTGTGAGGGATGCGCCAGCATGGGTGCGGCGAACGCATGTGGACGGTGGAGCAGGGGCCTTCGATGGAACTCCCTATGGGGCCACGAAGCGAGTGAGGGGTGTTCCGAAATTGGTGTGGGGGACGCATGCGGGCGGTGGCACTGGAGCATTCGGTAAAATTTATTATGGGGAGGCGAAGCGTGTGGGAAGTGTGCCGACATGGATGTGGCGGACGCAAGTGGAAAAAGGCTCTGGGGTCGTCGGTGGAGCTCCCCATGGGAACACAAAGCGTGTGAGGGGTGTGCCGAAATGGGTGTGGGGGACGCGTGCGGGCGGTGGCACTGGAGAGTCCGGTCGAATTCATTATGGGAAGGCGAAACGTGTGAGGGGTGTGCCGAAATGGGTGTGGCGGACGCAAGCGGAAGTTGGCATTGGGGTCTTCGGTGGAGCCCCCTCCTGGGGCCACGAAGCGTGTGAGGGGTGTGCCGAAATTGGTGTGTGGGACGCATGTGGACTGTGACACTGGGGCCTTCGGTGGAGTTCCCCATGGGGCCACTAAGATTGTCAGCGGTGTGCCGAAATGGATGTGAGTGACGCATGTAGGCGGTAACACTGGGGCCTTCGGTGGAGCTCCGTATGGGGCCACGAAACGTACGAGGGGTGCGCCGAAATGGGTGTGGGGACCGCATGCGGGCACCGCCATTCGGGCCTTCTGTGGGGCTTCCCATGGGGTCACGAAAACGTGCGAGGTGTGCGCCGAAATGGGTGTGGGGACCGCATGCGGGCACCCCCACTAGGGCTTTCCGTGGAGCTTCCTATGGGGCCACGAAGCATGTGAGGAGTGTGCCGAAATGGGTGTGGGGACCGCATGCGGGCACCACCACTGGGGCTTTCGGTGGAGCTCCCTATGAGGCCACGAAGCGTGTGAGAGGCGTGCCGAAATGGGTGTGGGGGGGACCGCATGCGGGCACCCCTACTAGGGCTTTCGGTGGAGCTCCCTATGGGGCCACGAAGCGTGTGAGGAGTGTGCCGGAATGGGTGTGGGGACCGCATGCGGGCACTCCCGGTAGGGCCTTCGGTGGATCTTCCCATGTGGCCACGAAACGTGTGAGGAGTGTGCCGAAATGGGTGTGGGGACCGCGTGCGGGCACCCCCACTAAGGCCTTCGGTGGAGAAGTGAGGGGGGATGGGAGGATGGAGGAGGGGAGGGGGAAAGAGGCGTAGAGGAGAACGCGGGGACCGTCTCCTCAAAACAAGGACTCAACACCACAGAATGGTTGGAAGAAACGTTTCAAGAATTTCGCAGATTGAGGGCGGTTTCTTTTCAAACTGTGGTTCTCGCTCAGCGCCGCACATATTCGGTTTAAAACTGTGGAAAGGTTTCGCGCATTCTCATGATCAGCGTATCCGAAATGGCGCTATGGAAGGATTCAGGATTATGCGGGTGCAACAGTGATGTGCTTCGCGGTGTTGAAGTCCCAAGAGTGGCGTTCTGGAGTGATTCCGGATTGTCAAGACGCAGCATTCAGGTTGATCCGTGACGTTGAAATGTCGAGAACAATTTTTGGCATGTTTCGGGGTCTTCAAAATGTTGTCCTCCAACGAGGCAGCTCCCTCAATGGAAATGAACCGTTGTAGGGGCCTATGAAAAAAAGAGAGCTTGGAGGGAGGTTTAATTCCGACATCGTTGATGACTCCTGGGTTTACACTGGTCTTCCTCCTCCTGGTCCTCCTCCGACAAGCCAACAACCTTCGGACACATGGGAAATATGGAATCTTTGTCTTCGCGTTTTTTCGCCCCCAATGGGCTACTGAGGCCTCAATCTCGCTCCTGGGAGTCCCGAAGACGCCCCCAACGGGGGCCCAACATCGCTTCCGAGAGGGGTCAAACAGCCGTCCAGGCGGCCCAGGACGTTCCCGGGTCACCTCCAAGACGGTATCCAGGGGTCTTAGACGGTTCCCGAGAAGCTCCAGACGCTTCAAGAGACGCTCAAGACAGCCCAAGAGGGCTTCAAGAGACTGTCCAGGACATTTCCGACAAGCGGAACACCATCATAAACATGCATTGGGACTCGATGATTTTGGCCTCCCTGCCTTTTCGCCTCCGATGGGCTGCAGCCCAGGACGGCCCCGAGTCACTCCGAAGGCGGCCTCTTGGGGTCGCAGACGACCCTAGAGATGATCCAGGCGCCTCAAGAGACGCTCAAGAGAGCCCCAGAGCCCCTCAGGCGACTCTCTAGGATACTTCCGACAAGCCGAACACTTGCACAGACTCCCGAGGAGAAGGATGAGGAAAGAGTGACGAGGACAGGAGGGGCCCGGCGACATGCTCCCGAAGAGCCTTCGAGTCGCCTCCCCAAAGTGCCCCGGCACCAGAGTTCCCAGAAGCCCACGCAGGGCTGCTCGTAGTTCCCCACCTGTCCCTAGATGCCCTCCAAACGAGACGCACCCGTGAACCTGCTTGGTGCCTCCTCCTGAATCTCGCCTGAGAGCGTCTTCGAACCTGAAGCTCTTCGAGGTGTACGTCTCCATTGAGAGCCATGGCACGGTCCAACGAGAGCACCGAATATATGGACATTCGTGGGACGCCCTTGCGTTAAGTCGGGCGCGTCCCTCTACAGGAGGAATATTCAAACATAGTCAAAACATAGTCATGTGTCGACTTGTTGGGTATTTGTTGACAATTTCTAAGTATTTTTCAAACTATTGTTCACAATTCGCCCAGAATCCATTTGTAGGGGGACATGCCCGACCTAGCATTTGTGGGACGCCCTGGCGCCTCTTCCCTCCGCCCTCTGTGGTGGTTCTCCAGGGGCCCGCTTCGGGGGAGGCTTGGAGCCTCTCGGACCCCCTGGGGGGAGGCTGCAGGAGCACACGTCGTGAGCCGACGTTGTCCCCGTTTGCACTGCCCTCTTC